GAGGTCAACAGACGTCGCGACGTCAGGGGAATCCTTTTCGTCCGGACGAACGTTACGCACGAGGAAATCGGGAAAATTCTGAACGCGGGGCGAGAATTGTTTTCATCGCGCTGTACCGAGCCTCCCGGGCGCGAACCATATCGCGCAACGCCAAATTTAGAAAAACTCGACGTCCATGATATAGCGTTAAATTACTGATTAGTCATCCATTACTCATTATACTATCGAAACAAAAAGTTTTTACTCGGAACGTAAATGATTACGAAATTCGTCGTATGTAAGATTAATCTATTGTAACAAATCAATTTTTAAAGGTTTATCAAATGGGTACAGCCAAAACAAAATTTCAACGAAATTGAAAAGAAAAATTACTATCAATATATAGGACGGGTTTCAATATATTGTTTTTTTTTTCCTCTGGATAGAACTTTTTCAATCCTTTTTTCAAAGAACTCCAGCTTTATTTTTATCTTATTTAATTTTTCAGAGCTTAATTTAGTGCAAAGCTCGTTAGAATTAGAAAAACGACAAATCTTCCGCACCATTTCGATATTCTCCATTTCACCGTAAAACTGAACTTTAAGAAAAACGCAACATCGGCAATATATTATCGAAAATATTATTTTTCTTTGTAATATCATTCGATGTTCCGGCATTTTATTTGCTGCAAAATTTGAGGAAGGTGTCGGTGAGCAATCTAATATCAGAATCGACATTTCAAGATCGGACCTTCAAGTAATGAATTCGCGATTATATAAAGTGAAAGTTTTCGGGAAGAATCGGCGTGAGGATTTGCATGATCTTTCGATGACCATCGAAATCGGATTTGAGGTAAAACGTGCGCGAGTCTCGGTGATCCACTTGCGATCTTGCGAATGACGGCCGAATGTTCCTCAAACGTTCCGTTCCCGCGTTCTCCCGTGTCTCCTCACAGGAGGAGCAGGTGTTACCGAGGAGGAACCGACCGGCGCGAAAAGTCAGTCCGGGACCGGTTACACCGACGCCGATTAGCGCCGACCGGCCACCTTCTTGTCGTCTCCGTCAGATAGAACGACATAACGATCGAGATCGTCACGAGTTGAAATCCCGCTGCTGAACGAACGAAAGTTCTCATTCACGACGATCGAAAGAATCTTATCTCTCTCTCTGTATATCGCTCGAAAAGCTCGACGAAATATTGTTATTGTAAAATTCAGAATGGCAAAATTGACCTCCGAGACTTGGATCGCGCATGATTCAGTGCCAACTGGTGGACATTCCTAGAAATCAATCGCGATTAATTTCTTCTTATCTATATCCAAGTAGATAATGTCGTGTATATGTAACAAGAGAGATAGCGGTATAGTCATTCACGAGTAGTCATTCGGAGCGGAATCGGTTAAAGGCAAAAAAAAACCGCAACTTCGCAACCAGGTGAGCGCTGATCGCGTCGACATCGCGTAACCCTCGTTAACAGGATTTTCTCCCCGTGTCCACGCTGCGCGGGTGGCAAACTGCTAATCTCGAAGGGAACAACGGAGCCAGAGTCAAGTCTTGGTTAGGCCCAGACGGTCGAATGACGATGAAGCGAGGAAATCGGATGCACATCAGGTGTGTGCGCGCGCGCGCGCGCGGCACGTCGCGGTTTGCCGCCGATCGAGAATTCGCCGCGCGCTCGTCGCGATCCACAACGAAAACAACGACGGTCCACCGCGTCATCGATGGGGAAAGCCCGTTTGTGCCCCGGGGTACGAGTGTGCATGTGCGTCGCGAACGTGCGAGCGAGAACGGACGGGAAAGAGGTGGGAACGCGAAGTTCCCCAGGAGGAGACGGGAGCCGTCGCGTCTCCCCCCGGGGTGAGGTGCGCGCGATCACGGAGCGTGTCCGGGGTAACGCGCGGGACAACGCGACCGCACACGTCGGGCACGCGCACCAGTTCGCAAAGAGAGCGTGGAGACGGAGAGCGCGGACGGAGAGGTGCCTCGCACACGGCGGAGACTCACCTGATAATAGCTCGATTCCGCCATCTTGCACTCCTGCACTCAATAAACGCTCTCTCTTCCACTCACTCACTCACTACTGCCGCCACCGCCGCTTTCCATCCGTCCTTTGTGCGCGTTGATGGGCCGACGGAACGGCGAGAACGTCCATGGCGCGTTTTGACCGCGCGGCCGGAATTATATCGCGCTGCGTGCGTCGCGTCGCGTCGGCGCCGTGCCCGCCGCCGTACGGCGCCGCATCTCACGTCGCCACTCGCGACACGGGGAAAAACGCGACACTCTCGTGCTGTACCCGGGGGCGCTTTGGACGACGTCGATCGTCGCGAATCCTCGCGCGTACGGAAACGATCGGCGCGATGAAAACCGTCACGCACTACCGCACGAGCGGATGAATGAAAGACGCGCGGCGCTCGCCAACGAGAAATGCGGACGCGACCACATTCCACCGCACCGGACTAGCCAGGACTAAGCGACTACTTGACTGACGAAAACGCCGGGCCAATCGCCGCGCGAGGCGCATGCGCCGATCCCTCGCCGTCGCGGCCGACGCGAGCCCGCGCGGCCAATCGGCGCCCGTCGTCGCCTGCGCTCCGGAATCGCGCGCCAATCGTTCGAGCGTTGGCGGGACGCCTAAATCCGTCACCGTGTTTCCGGAATCTCAAAAAAAAGAAGTCTTTTATGAAGAATCCGCCGTTTAATAGAAACAATCACGCACATTCCAAAACTTGTCCAAAAACTGTTTAGACTTCGGGATGTTTCGTGTTTACAAGGAATCGAGCATACACTCGTTTCTCGTATACTTATTATCATTTTAAATATGTACATGTACAACTATACAATGTGCCTTTGGAAGTCTGTATGGATATAATTATTGAGAAATTAATGTCTCAAGTAGATCCTCAGGTGTTCTAGAAAAGAGACCGCTGGGGTTCTGGTACAGATTTTTTGGCTCGTGACAGGCGTCGTACAACTGCCTGTATATAGCTCCGATCACTTCGAACGATCGTTTCTGAGTAATCATGCGATGATTGTTGCTCTGCAGCAAGCTGATTTGCGGTAGCAGCAAGACGTCCGGCATCACCAGAAATGCCTCCAGTTTATTCTGTAGAAGAATCAGCACATCACTATCTTATAATCATACGTTATTTAACCCTGATAGCACGCAAATTGCTCGAGGCTTCTGCAACGTCCCAGATAGGTTGCAGTAATGTCAAAATGTCCGCTTAGGTTACAACTTACAACTTACAAAATTACAATGGTAATCTAATCTAACTTGTCTAACAAATGTCTATTTCTATCAATGTGGATTAATTTTAATCTCGGTTTAATTCACTGTTTATCCATCTCTAATTTTTAGAACTTGAAAAAAATACAAAATAAGCCGAGAATTAAAGTTAATCTACATCGGTAGAAAGGAAGTTAATCTAAGCGGGCATTTTAGGTTAGAAATTTAACCTAAGTGGACTTTTGACATTATTGCAACCTCTGTCTGGGACGTTGCGGAAACCTTGCGCAATTCTGTGCCATCAGGGTTAATTTTGTTGATCAAATCGCTTACAGTGAACTCTTTCACGCTGAGGGCATCCATGCCAGGTATGGACGAAAGTGGTCCCTGATCGCGTCCTTGCAGGATGGTGTAAATTGAGCCAAGATTTAAATGCGCTACCAATGAGCTAGCTTGCTCCGACGTAAGTGTATCGATTTGCGCATCCGATTGTGCCTGAATTATTATAAATATCATTGCAACTTATAAATGGACGTCAAATGCAAGCAATGGAAATAATTTCAGTCTATTTCGGTCCGGTTCTAGTGCGTATAAACTAACCAATCACCTGTAACCTTTCTAATCTCTGATCCATGTACTCGTACAATGCCAACGTCGATTGTATCTGGTGCATACAATTGAGAAGATAAACGGCCATATCCACGGTTGGCAGTCTGGATGCTGTTTCATTAACTTCTTGAAGTAACGGATCGATGATACATGACACGATCTGTTGATTATAAAACGACATAAAATAAATTTTTTCAATTTAAACTTATTTAAATGTTTTCCAACAAAAAGGCGAAAAGAATATTCCTGCCGAGAGTATACCTGCAACATATCTTTTTCTCTGTCCTCAGCTATACTGGCGACGGACAATATTTCGTTTAGCAGGGACAATAGTCTAGAGACTGACGGAGCGGGGACCAAATCACTTCCGGGAGGCTCCGCGCGCTCTCCGAGAGCGATTCTCGTTTCCCTCTGCAGCCTGCTTAGAAAACTCTTTTCGCTTAAAGCCAACAAGTCCAGCAATGTCTGATCCAGAACGCTGTCGGGTATGACTTGTTCAGTAATAGCGCGGTAGAATCGGATTAGTGTCGTGACCGAGTATAACACTGTCGCTGGCGCTTCTGTAGTTATAACATGCTCTATTCTTGATTTTAAAGGATGACATAATCCTTCCGTGATATTACTTAACGCCTGTTTCACCTGATCTGATACGTCTACAAAAAACAGATTCACGTATTTAAACAATGGCTCAAGACAAAGAGAGAGAGAGAGAGAGAGAGAGAGCGTCTTACCTGTTTTATCACAGCCTTTCACTAAAGTAAAAATATTCTCTTTCTCTACGGGAATTACTTGATGCAGCCACGCAAGCATATCACCGACATATCGCTTAGGATCGTTGGCATGCATTTCTATAGGATTGGGTGTTCCACCAAAACCTTCTCCTAATGTTAGCGCGTCTATGAAGGATCCCACCAAGGCAGTTCTTCTAGCTGCACAGTACTCATCCAGGATGTACCTGGTAACATTTCAGTGTATATTAAATTATAACGGAAATAGCAGTTTCGAAGAAGTAATACCAAATATTAATCGTCTCACTTGAATAACACTGGCCTGTCTTGCAGCTTACTCATGGCCTTAATGAGTAACGGCGCCAAACGTTCGTTTTCTATATTTTTACACTGAGTCTGCGTCCACCGATATAGCCTTTCAAGCGCCGATTCTTGCAGCAACGTCATTCTCTGCATAATATCCAGAGCCAATGTCTGATAACCGGACTGCATCAGTACTCTACATTTACCATGAATATCCTGGATCCCGACACAAATTATAAAAATATAGGGGCAGAAATAAATATCATTACTGAAGGCAAAAAAAAAGTTTTCGATGTATCTTACCTGTACTTTACTAACTACAGAGAAAAATTCCTCCGTTATAGGCGACTCCCTGGCCGATCCATGTAAAACGGTCATTTCGGATTGAGTCAGTTGGAAATTTCTGATAAATGCACTCGCGACTTCCTGCTGGATGGTTAATACTTGACTGCGGGCAAAAGTAAACGATAAGGTTCTCAGAAGTGTGACCGTGCATCGTCGTACAGGAATATCTTTACCTTTCGCTCTGAAGCTTCGTGGTCTGCTCAATCAGCTGTGACGTTTGAGCCTTCGTGGCTTGCAAGCGATTAGTCATAGATTGCACAGCCGTGTTCATCGCCAGAACGTTTTGGTAAACGTCATCCAGGGAGGCCTTCACCTCCCTGAACGTGGCCAGGAACTCTTCGTTTATCGCCAGACTCCTCCTCTCTATTTTGCTGCGCAGATTTCGGCGGGAATTCAATGTGTTCTCGGTGAAGAACGTTGACAACTCTTTCAAAGCTTCCAGGGTATCCTAAAAAAAAAAAAAAAAAAACGGAATCCGACTGAATATTCAGTACTCAAGAACATATTCGATTCGCGGTCGCTCGCAAAATGAGATTTCCACATGATCGCCTCGTTCATCGCAATTTTCGTACCTTATCGTGCTCCACCCTGGATTCCAGCAATTTGTTGACCCTCCGCACTAAAGCGGAGTTGATGTTTTTCTCGCTCATCGCGGATCTTGAAGTTTATCAGCGGCACATAACCTGTGTAGACATGTCAACGGAGACATGTCCAACGGTACACGTCATCTGAGGCCTCTGAGGGTAGGTCAGGAAGATCAGTCTTTTTCGATGAATTTCGGAACGCCGAATGCCGATCAGCCGATGTCGACGGCCGTCAGTTGTCACTCCGGGCGGTGTCGCACTTCGCAGTAGGCTGCGCGAATTGTAAACAATGCAATATCACGAATGTCGCAATTCACATGAATGTAGTAGAGACTAAAGTACTCCACTAGCCGATGTCACGATGTAAAACGTGTAGACTCTGGTGTACATACATACATGTTTTTCAGCGGACCCTCGAAAGATCGCTAAAATGCATTCCGTTGGAAAAACAGCAGGATTATTCTCGCTGGCGATCTCGCGTGTCCGCGACGGGAAAGGGGCGGAAGAAACGAGCGAGGGATCATCCTCTCCGTCCAGTATCGTCGACGTGGAGAATAGACAGCCGACAGCTTCCCCGACGGCTTTCCAAATGCAGCCAATGACGTTTCGCCGAACCGCGAGCCAGGCATGCGTACGAGCAACCTGTCGGAATGTGTGAATTAATTCGTATTCTTGTCGATGACAAAACGATGAAGAGCCGTTTCTCTAATTCGCCGAGTTGCGAATTCGGCGGTGTCACACTGCGACAACGGTGTGACGGTGATTGAGAAATTTGGGGGCTCGCGATAAGTCTCAGATTCGACGAATCATTCGCGGAAAACACACGTACATACGCGGTGTATGTACACAACGCTCCACACATGTGTACGCGTACGCATGCGAGAGAGTGAGAGAGAGAGAGGGAGAGGGAAATAGGCGCCATGCAGAAATTCGATGCGTTTAATTGCGTTTAGTTGCGTCTGATCGTCGCGTGAACGTGCGGGGGCCTGTCCTCTTCAATGAATTGACAAAAAAAAAAAAAAATAGGATAAACAATGCGCTGGTTAATACGTCTGTGTACCCTCGCGATTTTGCTGGTGCACGGCATCGAGGCGAACAGCGACGAGCAGCAGGCGCCGTTAACCAAACTTGGCGCAAAAACCGGGCCGACCCTGAGGTTCTTTTATTGGTACGATTAACGATCCCTCCTGTTGAATTTTCACGGTGGCGATCGGGGAACGTCCGTCCTATTTAAGATAATGGACGCTCTGCGATCGCGTGCCGTTAAATTATGCGCTCCCCTGCAAACGGGAGACTCTTGTCGGGCTTCTCGCATAGATCTAAGGACACCGTTGAATCACAATGTCGATTTCTCTTATCGTCGACCTGTCGGGCCTTATCGTTAAGTAAAAAGAACTTATCTCTGTTGTCTGTTGCAGCTACTCGTGCGGCTACAGAAAAGCCTTCGATCAGTACGTGACTATTCTTAAGCAGAAGTATCCGGAACTCCATGTCGAGGGCGAGAACTTCAATCCACCTGGTTATAACATGTTAATCGCGAAAGCGTTGGTAAATTTAAATTCACCGCCTTATGTCTGTCTGTGGTCTCATGCTCCTGTACACATCTCATTTATATATGTATACATTTTGTGTTTAGGGAACCTTAAAAATACTCCTGATCATACTAATCGTGAGCGGAATTGATTTTGGCCTGCCGCTGACGTCGATATGGCAGTGGTGTATAAATAATCGTTTTTATTCCTGTATATTGATTTTCTTGATTGGCAACGCCATAGAAGGTCAATTGATCTCCTCGGGTGCATTTGAGATACATTTCAATGGTAAATACACTTATCTCCTTGTTGATATCAAGCGTGAAATGAGACACTTGATCACTGCATGTGTCGCGATGACGTTTCAGATGTTCCTGTTTGGTCGAAGCTCGAAACCGGCAGAATACCACAGCCACTGGAATTATTTCAAATAATTGACTTTCACTTAGATATGCAATTCTCCGAAATGGACGTAGGAAAGATCAAGTTCCAAACATAAAACGTAAATGCATAGACGTTATTCCGACGTTATTTAATATTCTGGAATTAATAAATCTAAACCGTGTACCATGCCAGGACGTTTGCTAATGTGATGAAAATATGTACAATATATTTGTTAAGTAAGTAAGGTCTCCTTAATGTACATCTTATCATAGAGCATAATTCCAATAAGATTACAAACATATATAAGTGTAATTGAAATAAAACTGTTACCAAAATTTCTTATTAAAGGATTCTTATTCAAAAGCACTTTATTATATCGAACTTCCATAGTAGAATATCATACATTATTTTACATTCTTTAATATCCGTTTCCTGCATTTGAAAAAACCAGAATCTCACAAACATGTTCACGATATCATTTAATTATCCGACTGACGTCATTGAAATCTGTTGGATGATCACTGATTAGGGGACGTGCTTCATATGTACAAATAGTTACACCATGTTTGTGTGCTGGAGTCCATTCTCCTTTGAGACCGATGTAATAAATCTTAATCTCGTCGCTGTTTCCGTTGCCAGTGAAGTAAAGGCTTAAATGCTGCATTGATGAAAACTTGACTGTTCTGTAATAACGTATACATCAAATTTTTATGTATATTCTGTTATCTCATACAAAAAATTTGTACGCAATTACAGTTGTGCTAGAAATTCTTAACATTGTAAAAATATAAACTTAAAAAGATAGGCATATTATTACCTTATGGGATATTCATGTATTCCGCACGAATCTGTAGTTAACTCAAATTCCTGCTCTGGGACAGCACCTACATGCTCAAATAGCATATGCGGCCGGTTTTTATATCTATTAATATACATAAGTTTATTAAATACATTTTTATGTATTTTTTATTTCAACATATAATTTTTCTTATTTTTGGAAAATCTTAATTATACTCACAGCTTCACTGTTTTAGGAAAGCTCTCTTCATCAGCAATCACAATAAGACCCTTTAACTTTACATCTCCTGTAAAACTGCAAAAAAAAAATCAAAATATAAATAATGAGAGATTGGTCGATTTTAATAAAAATTTTTGTAACACTCGGGATACTTACGGTATATTGAACAAAAGCTCATCGTCGACATCACTTTCAACATACTGAAATAAGACAAAAATTTCCGTAAAAAGCTTAGTAAAAATTATTAAGATATACATTTGATATATTGAATTTGATATATTGAACAAAAATTTTATGGAGCTCACCTGTGACCTATCTAGTCTGTCTTCCCATGTTTTGAAGACTTTGATACCACTGCCTTCCTCAAGCTCGTTTAAACATTCCACTCTGTCTTTATCTATCTTTTCAAATAAACTATAACTGGCTCCTAATTCCGCTGTATGATGTCCATTACAATGGTTACACTGATGTTCCATTATTTTACCCTGTTAATAATAAAAAAATTAAGGATTACATACAAACGATATGAATACATACACATATATAAAAAAATATATTAAAAAATCCTTCAAATCAAATAAATTATATATTTATATATATACAGCGATGATAAATACTGTCATGTAACATGCTATCTTGGTATAAATTAATCCAAGTTAAACGAATTAGAATTATTTTCTATTTATTATTTTTTCAAAAAATAATACAACACTAATTACAGATAAATAAACATCCTTAAAATATTACGTTGCTACCTGCGATAAGAATAATTATCTATATTTTCAGTATTTGTCACACAGCTACACACTTTTGATTTCTTTACAAACGTAGGACGTTACCAAACTGAGGTTAAGTTCACACAACAGGATAATCTTGACAATTGTAATAATTGCAATTTTGCAATAGAACAATATTTTACGTACAGATGATAGAGCTTTCTTTGCCAGTTGAAAGTCGACTAAAGACAAGAAGAAATGTGAAATTAAACCGTTCCTGAAGAACTGTAATTTACATTGAAGCTCCCTCTCCTTTAACCTGTCTTTTAACCGGTCGGTAAATAATGTTTTTATCGTAGAACCATAATCAATGTATATACATTATTTCAAGTTCCATAGTACAATTTGTCTTCCGTTATTTTCTTATTCAATTGAAGTTTATTATTCACACAATTTTGAAAGTCGAGTTTATAGAGCTTTTGGAGAAATGAGAAATTCATAAAATTATTTTCTAGCAAAATATACTGGTATATAATTAATATAATATATGCATAAAATGGAAAAATGACTATATATATATACATAACAATATACGGGATTCATTTAGAATAATCGCGTTGTTTTTAAATTTAATGTCTATGAAATACAAATTTTACGAAACTGTTGAATCTAAGCGAGACCCTTCTTTAGGACAGTATAAGATGAGGTTTAACGAGAATGTGAAGATTGTAGGATAACAGGTAAAACTTTGAGATTTAAAAACAAGTGATATTCATTTATAAATTCTATAGCGTATGTACATTTGTTACTTTGCATATAGTGAATGAAATATAGATAGAGTGCAACATAACATATAAATAAAACAATCTTTAAATGATCTGTGTGTGGAATTGTTGCATTGCCATCTTTATGAGTGTTTATCAACGGCCTCGTCAATTATTTTATTCAGCTTCTGATTTTGCCAGTCAAGAGTGATATTATCGAGATGGTTGTCAAAGTCGATCAGATTCCTGTACTCCTCTGTTTTCAGTAACGAATACATTGCGTCCGTGTGTGCAACATCATCCTCGTAAATTATACTGCAACAAAAAAAGAACGGTGTTTAATGCTCGAGTGAAAGAATTCTATCAAGTCGTATTTTTCGAGAGTCCAAATAATTTTTCCAATCCTAAAAATATATATAATTACTTTGCCTTGTCCTTTGGCTTCCATTTTCCATCTACAACTTGCGAAATTATCAATGGACTCGATCCCATGCCCAGATTCACCTCTCGATTATCCACCTGACAACAGCAAACAATCAAATCACACGAAGTTCGTGGAAAAATATGTAAAACGTTTTGAAATAACTAGCAAATTACGTACCACTACCAGTAGCGCATTATTGAAGTTCTCTGCGATTTTGTCTGCTATTCTGTGGGCTGGTCTGTCTGTGCTGAATGGAGAACAAGAGATGAGTAGTCAGCGTAATGTAAAAGAAGAAACGTTAATTATACTAAAGAAATATCACATAAATATCTTACCTCATGTCATTTATGTTCTCATTGGCCAGGTAATAACCCGCCAGTATAAGGCCTTTACTTGCAGCTAACTGGTCCACCTGCAGCAACAATTAAATTAATGTAACAGAGCGACCATGATATGATTACCGCTATTATGCTAACGTTCCAAATGCAAAATTCTGCATGCAATGCGGAAGAAAGTGAAGCGCGTGATAAACCGCAGTGACGTCTCGTCCTTGTGCTTATAGGTTAGGATATTGACACGTCCACGTCACACAGTAATTTTCACACGTGTCAAAGTATATTGTTAGGAAGACGCAACAGCACGCGCGATTTTGCGAAAATGCACCGGCGGCAACGAACGCCCGTCGAATATTTACCAGAGTAAGTGCTATTTCCGCCATTGGGGAAACGTGTAGGCATATATGGAATAAAGGTACTGCATCCTCGATGTACAGATCCGCCCTGCCATCCTTGCTCTTTTGTTTGCCGAGTAGCAGGCCATTTATTGCACAATGCGGGTACTTGGCTGCGTGTAAAATGATTTTGCAGTACGCGCGGGGCGAAAAGAAAACATTCGTCATCGTCGAGGGTGCACTGTAAACGTAACGCAAGCTGACGCGAGGAGGACCGTGGAGTGAATCAGTCAGTATTACCAACAGATAGCGATTGCCAGAGCGGCGAACGTCAAGTCTTTTTTTTTTTCCCCTATATCACGCGCGCTGCAAAAAGAAGCGTTTGCAAATGTTCACTATTTATATTTCTTTTATGAACAGTTCTCGAAGATGTACTATACCTATATCTCAATCAGAGAAGAACATAATAAAATAAAATTTACTACATATTTAATATCAAAGAAATTTATTGTTACGATATTACAAATATATTTCAGCGAAATTACTTGTAAATTTAATATATCCCGGGAAAAAAAGTTCCACATATAATATTATATATAATTATATGCAAAATATGTTCATATTTGTTTCTTTTCTTTGTAAAATTATTCTTTAATACAAAATTGATAATAATAAGGATACATAAAAAATAATTAAAAATTTTTACATTGTTTTTTTTTTTACAAAAAATCAAGTTTGAAGAAATGAGAAAAATTGTTGATATATAATTATATATGTATATTTTTAATCACTTATATATGATTATATATAAGCAATTTTTTTCATTTCTTCAAACTTTATTTTTTGTAAAAAAACAATGTGAAAATTATTCTTTTAATTATTTTTTATGTTTCCTTCTTATTATCAATTTTGTATTAAAGAATAATTTTACAAAGGAAAGAAACATATGGACATACTTTGCATATAATTATATATGGAACTTTTTTTCCCGGGATTAAAAAAATAATTTGTTGTTATACATTTTAATGATATTAATTAGAAATTTATTATTATAAGTATTATGATATTAATTATTGTAAAAAGATTTCAGATATATATTATTAATAATTTAAATTTAATGTTAAATAAATTTGTTGTAAAAATTGCAAAGTTATTTAGAAAAATACGCCATCACCAAAATTCGGAAGCTGTATACATTTATAATAAATTTGTATCGCAGTTTTTTTTTCGCTTTTTCTCAATAAAGATAAATTCAATGCGTTCAATAAGTTCGATTTTGTGAAACCGAAATTGCAGTAAGAGAACGCGCGGCGGCTTGCATAAAAAGCGTTAACATCGCGCCAACTGGCAATCGGCATCACTCGATGTAATGCGATTATATCCTCCGCTCCAGTATAAGCGGTTCTGAAAAAGATTACGAGGGAGGCATCACGTCGGCATCCTCGCGATCGTCCCCGTGATCGCCGGTCATCGCCGCGCAACGCAGCAACTCTCCAGCGCGGCTCCTCGCTCATTGTGATTTTAATAAGCCTTATGCAAATTACAAATGAAATTGTCAGAGGCAGGCCCGTGGTCCATTCTTCGTCGTTGATAGGGACAATTAGAGGAGCTTTGTCCGGCGACCGAGCGTTGTCCGGCCGGCCGGCAACTTGAGTTTGACCGGGAAAGAGAGAGGGAGCTTAGAGAAAGAGAAAGAGAGAGAGAGAGAGAGGAGAAGACCACCCACCAACCCTTGATGCTTGTATCCGCTCCCCGGAACGTTCACTTCCGACTCTCGGAATCGCGCGCCGTGTGCCCCATTGTGTATATTCGCTTCCCGCGATACTCACGAGTCGTCGATACAATTATAAACGCACATCGTTGGCTGCGCAGCGGCGAACGCTCGTCGTTGCTATTATCGCCCCCCCCCCCTCCCCTTATTATAGTTGCTATAAAAAGATGCAATTATTTTATTATAAGTCGAAAAAATAACAGCAACGTGCAAAACAATGTTGGAGAACGTTTTTTTCCGTTTTCTTAATCATATATAATTATATATATCGAAAGGATCAATTTCTAACACATATTACGGGCGTTACAGAGCGAGATCTGGACCAGTGTCGCGCTATAGTAGAGCTCAATTTAAAGATACTCGCGAGCGAAAGATACCCTATGTTCTTAGCCGCGAGGAACGAATTTGCTACGCGACGGTTGGCTTGATTCCGCAAGAAGGAAGACGTCAGAACCGCGGCGCGGAATTGTTCTGCCGTAATCTGAAAAGGGAGGCAGAGAGGAAGCGAGAGAAAGATACACGTCCTCTCCGCGCGGAACGCCGGGGCCCGGGAGAATGCGCCAATGGAGGGGAGGGAGGGGGGGGGTAGGGGAGAAGGGGTGGTGAAAGGACGGGGGAGCAGGTTGGAAATCGAACGGAATCACGGAGGCTGGAGGTCGGTGGTTCGGGGGCGGAGATAAGTTTTTACGGTAGGGTTACTAACTTACGGACTCGGCATTGTCGAGTTCCCGCCGACGGGAGGACAATGCGCCTTCGGAACACAATGCTTCACTCTGGAAATCTGAAGGCAGTCTTGACTACCAACCTGCAACCACCCATACCGCCTCCCTACGTGTCCCCTCCCCCCCCCAACC